GCCAGCTTTTTGGATAATGCAAATATTCAAATATTGACTATCTCATCTACCCCACACAGTCTCATGGTTTTGGCTTCTTGGAGAAATGAAAGAAGGGTCTTTAGACTTGGAGAGTCATTGGGTTCAGGACAGGAGCTTCCCTGACACTTCACCTTAAGCAGGACACGTCCTATGGTGTCAGACACTGGGTGGAAGTTCTGGGCTGGAGAGTTGGGGGATGGGGTGGATCATGTCACCAGGGAGGTTTGGGCACAGGGCACTAAGTACTGATTTAGGAGAAGGACCCAGCAGGCACAGTCTAGATCAAGAATGGAGCAGCCCCTGGCATTTACACTGGTCACCTTAAACTTCATCCAGACCCAGGTGTCTCTGACCCCCGCAGCCCCACTAGCCCTGTCTGCCTGCTTTCTGTTCCATTCTGCTGATGGAATACATGGGGGCCTGGTTGTTCTCTGTGTCTTTTTCACTCCTCCAGAGCAGGAGGAGGCAGAGGAAGAGGAGGCTGACAGCAGGGCTGAGGCTGAGGTTGAGGATGAGGCTGAGACTGAGGAGACCAAGGCAGAAGGTAGGTTCTCGGCTAAGGATGCAGGGACTCGGGGGATGGTGGTAGCCCCCAGAGCCATTCCTGTGGCAGTAAGAAATCCCCCTGGAGTATGATCTTCCACCTGTGCATCTGCTCCTCCTGTCTGGGCTGTGAGTCAGCCATCTATTGACCAATGAGTAAACATTGATTGAGTCCTTATTGTGTGTCAGCAGAGTCTTGAGCCTGGGTGCACATATATGCAAATAGGCATCTCCTGACCCCATACACCAACAGGGTACCCCTGTGGGGCAGGCTCTTGGTGGGGGGAACTTGAGCTCAGAAACATTGATTTCCTCATGTTTTGTTTAGAAGATGAACAAGAAGAGGGAGCTAAAGAGGCTGAAGGTAAGGACTGTTGGCCATCAGAAGAGAGGTTGGGTGCATCACCAGGGGAGAACAGCCACAGGGCTTCTCCTGGGGAGACAGGAAAAGCGGATTGGGGGAGGAGAGGACAGAACTTGGTGGCACTTGCAGGGTTTTTGATGTTGAGCTCTTAAGTCTTTGTTGCTCCTCATCTCAGAGAAGCTGCCTTGGTGGCACCCAGTGGGAGAGGGAACCAAAGTTCAGCCCCCTGGTCTGGGCATGACAAGGGGACCCAGAAGTTACATCCACACACAAAGTGCCTAGAGCTCAGGTGAAATCACTTGTAGGGTGCAGTGTCCTGATGCATAGACGGTCTATGTGGTGGTCATTGGCTGTTGTCATTGCCACGCTGCAGGTTTTACCAGGGATCCACAAGGTCCCAGTCACATACTCAGAGGGAAGAGGGCAGTCAGCTGGGGCTTGGAATCATGTCCACCAGCTTTCTGGCCCTGTGGCCACCAAGAAGTCCAGGGGGGCAACCAAGGAAGCAAAAACCTGGGAGGGTATCCCAGGGCCAAGACCCCTGGGGACCTTTCTAAAGGTGTGAAGCCCAGAAGAAGCAAAGCTGCTTTGCCCAGAGCCAGTGACTGAGAGGAGACTTTGAAGTTCCACGCTGAGAGTGTGTGTGCCCTGTAGGACTCAGCTGGCCCCTGAGACTCTCCCTGGGATGCACTGTGGGAAGGGAAGGGGGGTTGGCAACTCTGTTGCCTTAATTATTGTTGATGCTCCTGGAATCAACAAGTTGGAAGGGACTCTCTGGGCACAGGGGAAAGGGAAGCTCCCAAGTGTCCAGGGTATCAGGGGCAGAGCTGGGATCAGACCTAGGGCTCTTGACCTGTGGCTGTGTGTGCCCCTCTCTCCTCCAGATGGCCCAGTGGAGGAGTCCAAACCAAAGCCCAGGTGAGTGGAATGCACCTGCAGTAAAGCCTTGGTGCAGACGGCCAGTGAGGAAGGACAGTGATGGGGCAGGGTGCTGTGTGGCACCGTGGGCACGAGCTGGGGTGTGGTTGTGGGAGTGTGCACTGCACAGGGGCTTCTGCCTGAGGGGAGAGCAGGGGTGGACGCCTCTACCTACTACCAATCGTGCACCTGACATGAGCAGGGCACCTCACCTGGAGGAAAGGGATGCCAACTCACGGCCCTGGGCACACATTCTCTCCTATCCCAGGGGGTAGCCAGAACACCCTCCTCCATGGCTGAGATGGGACCTGGGGGAAAAGGAAGGCAAATTTTGGGGAGCCAAGCAATGAAACCATGCCAGCCTAGATATGGTGGCTTCAGAGTGCTGAGAAAGGACAGGGCAGGGCACCTCGGGGTCACACATCGGAAACACATGTGGAGGCTGTGGGTGTTGGGGTGGGTTGGAGGCAGGGAGCATTTTCTCTGACGGTGCTAAACCTGCCAGCAGGTGGCGCCTCCACACACTCGCAGGATTCGTCCCTTCTCAGTGGGGCCTTCCCACTTCAGCACTGCTGAAGACAATCCTATTTCCCTTTCCCAGACACTTGTACACTGCGTTAACTTATTTCATCTCCACACAGAGCTGAGGGAAGATGGGAAGCCAAGGACCAGAGACCCACCAGGGCCTGGTGTCACCACACTAAGTGTGCATTGGTCAGGACCAAAACACAGGACTCTTGGGTTCATGGGGAGATTCTGTGGTTCAGCACGATTGACGTGGAGTCAGACGAGCATGCCATCTTGTCACTGCTTTTTTGTTTCCCAGTTACGTGGCTTCAGTTCTCTTAAATGAGACTAATGGCACCTGTTCCACGGGACTGTTGTGAGCATAGATGAAAGAGCTTTGTGTATCTGCAGGCGCCGAGCAAGGCTGAGGACTGCTATTGCTGACATCAATGTTGATGCCATTGTGGTTGGTCAAGACAGTAGCAGAAGATTCTGCAGGAGGGAAAAGGGGCCTGTCTGTCCCAGGCACTGCAGTCCCAGGTGTCCAGAGGGAGTTGATCTTCACCAACTGTTATTCCTCTCTCCAATAGGCCATTCATGCCCAATTTGGTGCCACCGAAGATCCCTGATGGAGAAAGAGTGGATTTTGATGTGAGTGGTGGTCCCAAGGGTCCCCAGTGAGAGAGAGGCCATGTGACTTTGGGCTGGGGGCAGGGTGCAGATGGCATGGTTTTTAGTATACATCAGGCTGGGTGTCGGCTCTCAAGTATGGTCCTGGATTCAGGCCATATTTTTCCCTTCAATGGCCAGGCCCAGGCCCTGCTAGAGGCTTTTTGCATTGAGCGGAGTATCTGGCCCACCCACCTCTCCTCTGAGCCCCAGTGTCCACCCACAGGACATCCATCGGAAGCGCATGGAGAAGGACCTGAATGAGCTGCAGACGCTGATCGAGGCTCACTTTGAGAACAGGAAGAAGGAGGAGGAAGAGCTCATTTCTCTCAAAGACAGGATCGTAGGTGTCCAGCCTTCCCACCCAGTGCTCCCTGATGCCACAACCTGTCCTCTGTCCCTTTGGTTAGGCCCCGCCTTCTCCAGGCAGCCTTCCTGAGGCCCCTGGCCCTGCTACAGGTGGGCTCTCCTTCAGAAGCCCTGAGGCATCATGAGCTGCTCCTGCCGCCCAACCTGTGTCTTCTCGGGTCCCTGACTTCTCTCCTCCACAAACTGTACATTCCTTGATGGCAAGAGAACAGTCCAGTCTGTTTGTGGGCCCCTGCAGGGCCTAGCTCAGGCCCTGGCTGAGGAATGACTGGCCAATGCCTGTTGCCCCACTCCTGTCCTGGCCTTCTTGCACCCCGCCTATGAACAGAACTCAAGTGTGACTGGCAGAATCCCAAACCATCCTACCGGGGAGTGGAGAAGTTGCTTTGACTCCTTTTGTCTGTCTCCACCACGTGTGTTCTGGCTTGAGCCTATAACTTGACTACATATTAGAGCACAGAGCACAGAGCCACTGCCTGGGGACGTGGGGGGAGTGCTTCTGGGAGACAGAAGAAGCCTGCCTGACAGCTCCCAATTTGTAGAGGGCAGTCTCTCCATGAGTATGTTCAATGGGGTCATCTGCACGTGCCCTGGTGGGCTGTCCTGACCTAGCTAGGTGTGCTCCTTCAGGGCCCACTTGTTGAGGCATTGCCTCCACCCACATCATGGAACTGGCCCAGAGGGGAAGCCCTTAGAGGCAGGACACCACTGCCCTGAGACTCTGGGAGGAAAACCCCCGTGGGTCCTCCTGCGGTGCCACCTCCTCCCCGGGCACACCAGGCAGGTTCTCCCTCTTCCCCACAGGAGAGGCGGCGGGCTGAGCGTGCGGAGCAGCAGCGTATCAGGAACGAGCGGGAGAAGGAGCGGCAGAACCGCCTGGCTGTGAGTGACCCCTGCCCAGGCCCACAGAGCCCTCCATGCTCTCAGCTCCTGCTAGGCCCCCAGGCCTCTCTCTGTTCGTAGACGCTGAGTCAGTCAAGGGACAAAGTGTACCTGGTAAGCACTGGGCATTGTGTTGGCTCTGACAATTGGCCAGCCAGCAGGACAGAAATGCCTGGGTCCTTATGAACTTGGTATTTTAAAAGCATCTCCAGCCCTGATTCCTCCCCTAGCTTCCTGGTGGTGCAGGCTCTGGAGGCACTGAGGCCTCTAGCCCTCTTCCTATGAGGCTGCTGAGGCCCTTCTAGAGTAATAGGCCTTCTTGGGGAGCTCCCTGGCTGAGGAATTCCCATGCTCTGGAATCAGGACCTGAATCATTTACTGGTTCTTCATTCATCCGATAGACTCCTGTGTGCCAGCCTGTGCTGAGAGTGTACACTTGCCTCAGAAAGCTCTTTGCCCAAAGGGGGGAAAACTGAGCCCACCCATAAAGTCCACCAGCTGCAGCTAAGGACCAAGGTTTCCCATCCCACCCCTAATTTTCTCTTTTTCTCCTCCCTAAAACTCAGGAAGAAAGGGCCCGGCGAGAGGAGGAGGAGAACAGGAGGAAGGCTGAGGATGAAGCCCGGAAGAAGAAGGCTTTGTCCAACATGATGCATTTTGGAGGGTACATCCAGAAGGTAAGTGGGGAGCAGCAGCAGTCACCAAGAAGTCCTGGTATATTTGTGAGGAATGAGGTGTCTGCTATGGCATTCAGACCTCAGTTGGATCCCAGGAAGCCATTGTCAGCTGCTGTGGGTGGGAGATAGGCCTCCCATGCCTGTCTCCTGAGAGGAGGGTCTGCAGGGTAGGGGGCTATAGATGGAGCTCAGACCACCAATGGTCCTCCCCAACCCTGGCTCCAGCAGTGCTCAGCAGCCCCCAGGTAGCTGGGTGCAGTTGGAAGGGCCCTGTGCCTGGATTGAGAGCTCTGGTTGGAGACCCAGCTCTGCCACATATAGCTATGTGGCCTTATGCAACCTCTGAGCCTCAGTTTCCCCATATGGGACTACTACTGTCTGCCCTGTCACTTTGGGAAGACCAAATGAGCTAACAGGGAAGTGTCTATGTGCTACACAGATGTGAGGTGGCTTGTTCCTGGGAACTCACTCTCCATTCCTAATTTCTGTGTCCCACTCCTCCTAGACACTGCATGCTCAAGGGAGGCAGGGTGTGTAAAGCTGATTTTCTCTATGCAGTGGAGGAATCAGAATCTTTTCTTAGATTTCCAAAGTCCCTAAGCTCAGAACCAGGCTGGCTACTCTCCTTCTGCTCCCACCGTGACCATACCAACCACCCCTTTGGCGTTGCCCTGCTATCAAAGTGGTTCCTGCCCCAACCCCCAGACTTATGTCCTAGCAAACCAGGCTGCCTGCAGTGAGTGTCTGAATCATCCTCTTCCCTGTGTCTCTCTGCCTGCGTCTCCTGCCATGCGTCCTGCCTTCTCTCTGTGTCTCTGTGCGGTCTCGGTCTTTCTCTCTGGGCCTCTCTCTCATGGTTTCCTGGCTTAGCAGGCCCAGGTGGGTACCAGCATGTCCAACATTCTTCCTACCCATGGTTTTGGGGAGCTTCCAGGGAGGGGAAGGTTCCTTGCTGGAGGGGAGGAGTGTGCAGTTTGGATTGGGTAGGGAGGCAGGAGCCTGGAGAGAGGTGGAAGAGGCAGAGGAGGAAGGGGCTGAAGTGACTCTTCTTGTCCTCACCTCAGTTTCTCCAGGGGATGTAGGTAGGCAGTAGCGTTCAGTGTTGCAGGAACAAGTGGATAAGGAACTGCCACTGTGCAGTCCTTGCCTCACTTCCCAAAGGATTTTGGGAGGGTTAGGGCACAGGGGGGATGCAGTCTAGCCAATTCTCCCTGCTTGCCACCCCTTTCAGACAGAGCGGAAAAGTGGGAAGAGACAGACCGAGCGGGAAAAGAAGAAGAAGATTCTGGCGGAGAGGAGGAAGGTGCTGGCCATCGACCACATGAATGAAGATCAGCTGAGGTGGGGCTGGGCTGGGCGGTCCTGGGCCCTGCCTGCTTCTGCTCCGGGAGGAGTCGGTTGAAGGGCACCTCCCACTGAGAGCCACCAGAGGGCGCTACCGCCACACATAATTTCCCAAGGCCAGTTTAGCGGGACTGGCCTTGTGCCGTGCGCAGGTTAGACCAGCCTGATGAGCAAAGGGAACTGAGCGCCTCTCTGAGCTTCAGCGCACCCTCCTGCACACAGGTGTTGGGAAGGGGGATTGCATCATGCTCTACAGTGCCTGAGAGCCTCTCTCCCTTCCTCCTTGTTCTCAGGACTTTGAGCTGGCAGCCCCTGGGATCTCTGAGCCCCAGGCAGGGCTGGCGGGGATACCCTGTGCAGGCCTGGAGGTGGCTGGGAGGGCAGGGCTGGGACCAGGATGGAGGCCCATAAGGGCTCTTCCCTATTGCCCTTCTCCCCCATTCCCTCCTGGACCTGCAGGGGTAAGGCAAAGGAACTGTGGCAGAGCATCTATGAGCTGGAGGCAGAGAAGTTCGACCTGCAGGAGAAGTTCAAGCAGCAGAAATATGAAGTGAGCTGGCTTGTTGTGTCCCCAACCCATGATCCCTGTGTGACAGGGTCCTATGCTGCCACTGATGCTGGCCAGGCCCCTGTGACTCTTCCCTACCAACCCTGTCCAACTCCCGCACCTGCCCCGACGCCCACCTTCAGCTGTATTGGTGCTTGCTATTCTGGTTATTCCTTGCTGAGGGTGTCTCAGAGTTTTCTGGGGCTGAGCAGAGGCACTTTCCTGGGATTCCAGCTCTGGGGGTCTCCTCCCCTCCAGTCAGATGTCCCTGAAGCATCAAGGCAGCAAGGTTCAGGCAAGAGCCCTGAACCTTCTGGTAGGACCAAGATGCACAAAGCCAGTTGCTCCATTGGAGGGGGAGGTTTGCCACCAGGCATGTCTCTCTGGTGCTCCAGGTTGCACCAAGCACGTGCACTGAGGCCCTGGTGTGAGCACAGTCAGGCTGAGCACCAAGCCTGTAGCCTCACAGGGTCTTGTGAGCACTAATGAGGGCCAAGGAGTGCAGACACGAGGCAAGAAGATGGCTTAGCCAGCAATGGCCCTGCACACCTGGGTGCAGACCTGGGAGCCAGCCTTTCCCCCCAACTCTCCACCCATAGAGGCTTCTCTGCTGACTGCAGAGGGGTTCAGCTGCCCCTCGAGGGGCCACTCTGCTGTCCCTGCCAAGCCACACCTCCTTGTGCAAGGGCCCCCTCCTTGGGCTTGGCTCAAGCCCCCATGGCTATAGGCGCCCCCAGCCTCACTACTCAGGGAGGCAGTATTGTGACAAGGCAGTATTGTGACAAGGAGCGTGGACTTTGGAGCCATACTGCCTGGCTTAGATTTCTCCCTAACCTGTGCCCCTGACCAGTTGTGTGACCATGGGCAAGTTAACTTTTCCTTACCTCCATTTCCACAGATAACACTACAACTTACTTCATAGGGCTAGTGTGAGGGTTACAGAGATAATAATAATTATTATTGTAGTGTTTCAAGCACCATCTGAGCACTGTATTATTTTATATGTTCTGCCAACAATCCTGCGGGTCAGTGTTTGGGAATGTGCTCGGGACAGAACCTGACACCCGCTGAATGCTCGACAGGTGTTAGCTGTTTTTACAGCCTTTCTAGGCCCGTGCCTTGCGCTTTTCCTTTGGTTCCACACTTAGCTCTGCACTGGCTTATGGGGTACAAATTTGCCAAAATCTGGGGCAGTGCCTGCAGTGTGATGCATGGGGATGCTGCCCCTCAGAGGGCACAGCTTTGGGACAGCTGGGCAAGAGTGTCTGGGAGAGGGATCCTGGGTTGGGCTGGGCTTCTGGGAGGGCTCTCTGAGGCTCTGCCTGGGTCTAGCCTCCAACTTGCACCCAGTTCTCCAAAGGCCCTCCTTACAGACCCTCATCCTGACACCCCACAGAGAGGCCAGCAAGGTGGCCCAGGGCTCTCCTTGGCTTCTGCCTCTGGGACCTGGACTCCTCCTGACCCAGAACTATTCTAACCCTCATAGTATC